GTCAGTGGTTTGAACTCACCAGCCAGTCTGCAGGAGAGAGACGAGGCTGTCTGACTCCTGGAAAGATGTCTAGTCTCTGACGCCCTGTTGAGCAGTTCTCTCTCCTCCATCGCATCACTGGGAATTGGCATGAAATCAAAGGCAGTGTGGGTTTGGGTTTTAGGTTTGGTCCTGGTATTCCTCTGTCAGCTTCCTTTTTTCTCTCAGTCCTGATAAACCATCTGTTACGCTCACAAATTAAATGTGGCGAGCTGGTGGCAACCATTGGAAATATTAACAAGAAGAGTTTGATGGGGCTCGGAATGAGGCTTTGCCTTGAAAACTAGAAGGGAAAATCCTAATGGATATCCATCCAAATAGGTTCCAACCAAGGGGGGCTCACTTGGAATAAGCTAAAAGTGGTGTGCTGGGTTGAAAAGTGTTCCCCAAAAATTCATGCCCACCAGAACCTGGGACTGTTATCTCCCTTGGCAGTAGGGCCTTTGTCAATGTGATGACGTAAAGACAGCATCACTCTGGATTAGAGTGCGTCTTAAAGCCAAGACAAATGGTGTCCTTATTGGATTTAACTCACTCACTGCCATCAAGTCATGGATGCAGAGAAACAGACACAGGGGAAGGCCGGGGCAGTGTCTGTCTGCAGTGATGCATCTACGAACCAAGGAATGCCAAGGATGGCTGGCACCTTGCCAAAAGCTACAAGAAAGGGGAAAGGATCCTCCCTTCCAAATCCAAATTCCGACCCCACAGGACAGATCTCTCTCCACGGTGCAGCTGGTGGTTCTGAACTGCTGACTTTACCATTTGCATCCAGCATGGAACCAACGATACCACTGGGGCTCCTGGATTCTCCCCAAGAAGCTTCAAAAAGAGCAAAGCTCTGCAAAACCTCCATTTCCAGAAGGAGAAGACAGTAAATCCCTGCTGCTCTGAGCCACGGAGCTTGTTGTAATATGCTGCAGCAGCCCTAGGAAATGATAGAGTACAACTAAGGGTGAACATTGCAAGTTCACCATTCTGCTTGGCCACGAGGCCTGTGTGCACGTGCACAACTGCCTGCTCTGACGCCACAGTGCTTCCTGTTCACCAAACTCACGGCCAGGGAGTCCCTTCCAACACACCGTGACCCCCATAGGACACAGCGGGACTGCTCCATAGGGTCCCCCAGACTGGAAATCTTTATGGGAGCAGAGAGCCTCCTCTTCCTCCCTCTGAGCAAATTCAAACTGCTAATTTTCAGCTAGTGGCCGCACACAAAACTCACGCTGCCACCATATATAATACATAGAATAACATTGAAAATGAGATACTGTGCAGTGCCTGATATTGCATATGACTAAATCCATAATAGCATAACAGAACTAAAAAGGTGGTAAGACTCTATGAGGGGCTTCCAGTTGTGAAACAATTCCATTACCCTTTCATTCCGTTTTTTCCAGGAGCTTCTGAAGCCTTCTGGTACATGATGTTCTAGATTGTCCAGTGGGGACAAAGACCTTGTTTGGGCCTTGTTTTCTGGCCTCCTGAAACAAACTCATTACCACTGAGTCTATTTCAACTCATGGAGACCCTATAGGACCAAGCAGAACTGCTCCACCCGCAGTGTTTCTAGGGAGGTAATCGCTATGGACGCAGGTCTCCACCTTTCCCCACATCGCGCACCACCAAGCAGCTGGTGGATTTGAACCACTGACTTTTTGGGAAGCAGCCTAGCACTTCTTTACCCTGCCAACAGGGTTCCTTTTTCTGAAAATTGCACTTGGAATTTACCAGCAGTCAGGGTGTGGCTTTTGTTTTATAAAATAATAAGTCGATAATTAAATGTGTACGGGCGAGGCAGGAGTCCAAGCCCAGCCTAGCATCAGAGCTCAGAAAGGGGCCGTTTTTCTTGTCGTTGTTAGGGGTTGTGGAGTCCGTTCTGACCCAGAGCAACCCTGTGCACAACAGAACGAATCACGGCAAGGTCCTGCACCACCCTCCCAATTGCTCCTCTACCCGAGCCCGTGAATGCAGCCAC